AGCCCCTCCTGCTCAGCCCCGGGTACTGGCCTTGATCTCTGAAACTCCTCCTTCTTTCCCTATCACAGGCTTGGATGCCCCCAGCCAGATGGAGGTGAGAGATGTCACCGACACCACAGCTCTGGTCACCTGGTTCAAGCCCCTGGCTGAGATCGATGGCATTGAGCTCTCCTATGGCATCAAAGACGTGCCTGGTGACCGCACCACCATCGACCTCACACATGACGAGAATCAGTACTCCATCGGGAACCTGAAGCCTGACACTGAGTACGAGGTGTCCCTCGTCTCCCGCAGGGGTGACATGTCCAGCAACCCGGCCAAAGAGACCTTCACCACAGGTAACAAACCTCCCTCTGTAATGGGTAAGGAAAGGAAAGATGGCAAGATTTCTGTTCCGATCCATGATGGGGGTGTCCTCTCAACTCAGTTTCCACTAAGAAAAGTACAGAGGGGATTTCCAAAACTTTCTTTTTCTTTTTGGTACACATAGAAGATGTTGGTTAATCACAGACAAATTTTAAAATAAAATTTAAATAAACATTTTAGAGATAACATACATTATATAGAAAACATGAACAACAAAAAGCCCCTTGGCTCCTACTATATTAGTTTAAAAGTACCAAAATGTCAGTTGTTTATTCATGCATATTTTGTCAGAGCTCAGCATTGTATTAGCTATTAGAAATATAGTGACTAAGTTCAACAAATCAGTTCTGACACTCGTGATCTTATTTGTAAGTTTTGGAATTGTTCTGTAAGAATAAAGTCTAAAGCTGGGCGCAGTGGCACATGCCTGTAATCCCAGCACCTGGGGAGGCTGAGCAGGAGGATTATGAGTTCAAAACCAGCCTCAGCAACTCAGTGAGACCCTGTCTGTAAATAAAATACAAAATAGAGCCAGGGATGTGGCTCCGTGGTTGAGTGCCTCTGAGTTCAATCTCCAGTACCAAAAAATTAAATAAAGTCTGAGAAAAATGGAAATTATTGAAATATCATGAGTGTCAAGAATGGGAAAAATTTGCCAAATCTGTAGATTTGTAGATAAGCTATGATCGAGACCCAGGGACTAGGGGCAGCTTTGTCATTTCTCTCCAAGGGCAGGAGTGTTTTGTGTCTCAGCTTGATCCGTCAGACCCCTGCTCTCCTGGTGCCTGGAGTTCCAATGTGCATGCTCCTTCTTCTCCCACACAGGTCTGGATGCTCCCCGGAACCTCCGGCGCGTCTCCCAGACTGACAGCAGCATCACCTTGGAATGGAGGAACGTCAAGGCAGCCATTGACAACTACAGAATTAAGTATGCACCCATCTCTGGTGGGGACCACGCGGAGGTCGACGTTCCCAAGAGTCAACAAACCACAACGAAAACCACACTCACTGGTGAGCTTTGCCTCTCCACAGGGCCTAGAAGGACAGGCACCTGCTCCTGCATGTCCGCAATGTGCAACCCTCCAGAGAGAAATAAACCCAGGTCCCAGAAAGTCCTCTCCCTTGAACTTCAACAAGTTTGTTTGTACACATCACACTGAGAAATCCATGTCCAGGGACCAGTTCAGGATCTTTTTTTTTTTTTTTTTTTTTTGATCCCAGGAAGCTTTTCCAATTCTAGGTTGAATCTCAATGCTCACATTCTCTCTCAGGTCTGAGGCCGGGAACTGAATATGGAATTGGAGTTTCCGCTGTGAAGCAGGACAAGGAGAGCGATCCAGCAACCATCAACGCGGCCACAGGTGAGGCGCACCTGGGACTCCCACCACCTCTGAGCTGGCGCAGAGCAGACAGGACAGGGCTGATAAGGCAGAACCTACTTAAAAAGAAGTAGAAGCACTGAGGAGAAAGAGCCCCCCAGCCGCTAGCCCAGGCATTTACATTCAAACACTTTGCATGCCCAACCAATGAGGTGGATGCTGCTTTTTATACAATAAGGGGATGGAGGGATTTTTGTTTTTAAAGAAAATTTAGAACTAGACATTATAAGAAATCCACCTTTATAAGTTGATAACCAATTCTACTTTTTAATGTCATTCCCTACTTAAAACACATCTGGGGATTTTTCTATTAACCCCTTAACATCAACCTCTTCACAAGCAGAACATAATTGGCAGGATCATAGTTAGATTCAGGACCATCCTGTCACTCCAACAGAAAATCCCATCCTGAGGATCACACATGCTACCTTTTATGGCCATAGTCCCTTCCCCCTCTGTCTACCCCTCGGCATTCACTAATCTTCATCTTTAAAATTTTGCCCTTTCAAGAATTCTACATAAATGACATCCTGTGTGTATTTGTCAGCTCAGGATACTGTGACAAAAATACCTTGGACTAGGTGGCTTATAAACAGAAGAAACTTAATTCTCAGTCTAGAAGTTAAAAAGTGAAAGATCAAATTGCCAGTAAGTTCAGTGTCCAGTGAAGACCTTCTTTGGCTCATAGGAAGGCCTCTTCACTGTGTGCTCCCATGGGAGAAGAAGCAAGGAATCTCTCTGGAGTCTTTTTTATAAGGCCATGAATCCTGTTCATGAGACCTCCCAGAGGCCCCGCATCCAAATACCATCACACTGGGGATTAGGTTTCAACATAAGAATTTGGGGGAAGGTGTCACAAATGTATAGTCCATAGCAAAATAGTATGTCACCTTTGACACTGGCTTTTCTCCTTCAGCATAATGCTTTTGAGATTCATCTAAATTGTTTCTAGCATCTGTAGTCCGTCCTTTTAAACACTTTTACCTGAGTGACATTTTGTGGAATGGATACGCCAGGACGTTATTTTTAGTCTTCCAAACAAGCCACAAAGTGACATATAACTAGACCCATTTTGCAAACCTAGAAACCAAAAACTCAGAGGGGTGAGCATCCTGCAGCCACACGGTCCTTCTGGGGCTGACCCAGGATTCTAGCCCAGACCAGTTGACTTTCAGTGCCAGAAGCAGCTGTGCCTTGCAGCTTTACGAGTATCCACCTCTCTGCCTTTCTCCCAGAAATTGATGCACCCAGGGACCTTCAGGTTTCTGAAACGACGGACAACAGCCTGACCCTGGTCTGGAGGACACCATTAGCCAAGTTTGACCGCTACCG